GTACATTGTCTGTGCACATGGTTTAGGCTCTGTGAAATCAGACATTCGCTGGAGTATGTTAGTTTTAGCTTGAAGTCTTGGTATTAGAAACTGATGCAAGAAACCGTGATGACATAAAGTTTTTGAATATGATGGACCCTTCATGAATTATAGAGGTTAAGTCATCTTTAAGCAGAGTGTTTTTGGACCTAAAACTTTTTCTCATTCATAATCCTCATACCATAACATTCGTTTCTAAAGATTTTGTTTACAAATATACAAATGCTCCATCAAACATATAAAAGATAGATACAACAATGGTTTGTGTAGTGGGATGAATTATGCTAAAAAAACTATCAAATCGAAAAGAATGCTGATACTTTCCATTACAAAAGGGAGATTGATTCTTTGACTCTCTTCATGGATTCAGCATCAGTTTGGTTCTCCACATCTCTGCGAGTACCTTACGCGGTGCGGGATCATCTGGCCCTTTGTCTCGTTGCCCGGAGGTAAAGTATAACTGCCCTTCCCAATACCCAACCAGCGTAGTCTTCACACGGTATGGCAACTTTCCAATCACATACCATTTCTGCAGAGAAAGTAAAATTTCCAGCTACTGTTTACACTTTTTAATAGGATAGAGAGGTTTTAAGCATGAAGGCCACTTGGTTTTTACCATTGTATTCAGATTAAACTGGAAAATTTCACCAACAAGGACCATCTTTTTCGTTTCAGGATGCTTCTCCGTGGTGCCTCCGACGATTACAATGGAGTTGTTAACCACTTTCCAAGCAAACTCAATATGGGAATCCGGTTTTGGCATCGATGGCATGACTTTCCACTTCATTTCCTCATCCAGCATGTAGACATCACTGAATACCACCTGAACCATCAAGGTGAAAAAAGGACACATGATGTTCATAATAAAGCAACACTTGAGTAATTTCATCCAAGGAAGAGGAGTCATGATATTTAATTGAACGGGTAGTCTATTATATACCTCCATACGACGTGAGCATTTGAAGATGGGAGATCCTGGTTTAGCCATGAAATCACCTTCCTGACCTCCAATGACAAAAAGCCGGTCATCCACTACTACGCATGCTCTACAGTAACGAGAACAGTCAAACTCAGATAAAAAGGAGAAAGGTGTATGAAGTAGCTTATTCAACAGACTCAGATGAAACGCATGATCATCTACAACCGACTTCAACAGAGTTGTGAAAAATAACCTGTGAGGTCCTCCACGAGGGATTGGAATTTCACTTCTCCACTCTTTTTCCAATGCTTTCCCATCTTTTACTGCAATGCTCCAGTGTTCAAGCCCTGGTGTATGCCTATTCTCCTTGCTTCCACCCATTACGTGGAGTCTACCTCGCCAAAGCTGAGTTGCTGGAGCATACCTGAATGTAAACAAAATTTGTCTCTCAGTTTCTCTTAAGCATTTAGCATCACCAGCAAATCTTGAGCAGCAAAATGATATCCAAGCGAGCTAAGTTGCCATTTCTCAAACCCGAAAATATCATTTGTAGGAATGGTACATAATCTTTAAAATAATCCGATCAGCGTATTATCCAAATTGAATCTACTTGTTCCAAAATTACCTAGGAACTGGTAAAGGAACAAAGTCACTCCAGGAATTCGTATCAGTGTCGAGCACAAATGTTTTAGCTGTAGGCCCTCTACATTGAGGACCATATTGACCAGTGACAATGTAGATGTATCTCCCATCCGTTACCATACCTAAATGTGAATGTGCCATCTCTTTTGGCATATCACATCTTCCTCCCCATGTATTATCTACAAAATTGTATATATCAACATGGGAATGTACCTGAATTTCGATGACACAGAATAAGACAACTCATCATTGGTCAGAAACTACCAAATGCTACTGAAAGAAGGATATAAGAGGCTTACAATATAAATGGTGCCGTATCCAGCAAACACATATAGAAAATTCCTAATCTGAATTGCAGCTCCATCTAAACGAGGCACAGGAGCAGCTGCCATCTCCTCCCATTTAAGCTCAGGAGCAGCCAAATCTTGAAAATTTGCAGAAAGCTTCCTTTCCCGAACTTTATCGTTCTTCTACTTCTCAGTATCTTTGCCCTGAAAAAAGCACCAAAGCAGACGCAAGAAGTGAGAATCTGAGCCTATTGCTTTGAGATCCAATTCCATGAAGGTACATCAACAATGAGACAACAATGAACCAGTTACATTGGTATTAGGAGGAAGTTATCCGATCACGGTGGTAACGGAGGAGGGAAGAGACATCCCAACGGAGGAGAAAGGATGAGAAGAAGCCCAAAGGAAATCTCCAACAAGTCCGGCAGCTAAAAGAGCGAGGAATGAAACTAACACAACCCTCCCACAATTCTGCTTCCCAGCTTGCCTCGCCATATCTCTCTGCTTCTCTGTTTCTCTCTAAATTGGCATCTATCTCCCTTGAGGGTTTCGCAAACTTCAAGCAAAGGTTTAACCTTTTGTTTTGAATACAGGTAAAAAACACAGATTTTGGTTTTTGGAAGATGCAGAGGTGAGGGATCTTGAACCCCGAGAGGAGATGCGGAGGAGGGCAAAGCCGTGTTTTTTTCTTCTCTCTGGTTTATACATATTTATTTTCCTTATTTAAATATTAATGAGCGATTGAAAAGAAAAACATTCAGGTTTTAAACGCAAACGCAGATTCCGAGCTCAGTGTTCTCCCTACTTTTCGCCGCCGGCTTCTATCGTCACTCTCTGTTTATCAGAACTTATTCCGTCGCGCTTCGGCTTTAGCTTGTTTTGATAAAAGGTTTGGCTTTCTTCCTTTAACACATGTTCGATTCTCATATTTTCACGGGGTTTGTATTAGCTGTGGTTACTAGAGTCTGCTCTTCTTCCTTAGTCTATTTGGATTATAATCCTGACTTCTTAGGTTCCGTTTAAAATCCTTCATATCTTCTTAATTTTCCTTTGTGGCGGCTATAGGTTCGAAATCGTATACCAATTTGAAGTTTTTTGGTGCTTCTGGTGCAGGGGGTTAAGTGCTGGTTTCTTGTATGGCTCAGTGTGTGAGGTCAACTCTAAATCCTTTGAGAACACCCCAGAGCGTTACTAGGACAGTGTCTGTAAAAACCCCAGCTTTTGCGTCAGTCTCGTTCCTGAGAACATTACCGGAGTTCAAGAAATACCCAAAACCCTGTTCATTGGTTATGGCTTGCCAGGGCAAGGCCCAAGACCAGCAGGAGGGGAGACCACAACTGTCTCTTGATGATTTAGTCACGAGTAACCGAAAGGGAGAGGTTCTTGGCACAATCAAAGACTCGCTGTCAAATTGTCTCTCTGAGACGAATCTTCTAGAGACTGTTCCTGGTCTGAAATCTAGAATCAGGGGAAAGGTTGGCATTGTTTACTTTTTGTTTCTTACCTGTATGAGAAGACCAAGCTTTTGTGCTAAACCTACATAATTGTTGATTTTAGAATTCAGTACTGA